GGGGGGGGAAGCAAGGGAAGCTGAAATGTTATACAGAAACTCTTTTATCTATTAAGAGCTGCAGAAGATGAGAGCAAGGGGGATGGAAAGCACCAATTGCATAAAAACAATCTGATCTCTGAATGACATCAGGTTACTAGTGTCTAAAGCAGTGGCTAGCATAAGCAGGACTGTTGCTGGCTCAAGATCAAACTGTGTCTTGTGATCAGAATACCATCTGGAATCTTGTCATGCTAAAAGTGGAACACTTATTTAAAGAAATATATGCAAGCCTCAGAATGACTAACTGGCTGAATAGCATTTGATAAGCTAACATCTATTGTAAAGTACGTCCTCTTTCCATGGCTGTCTGTTCGTCGCACGACCTTAATTGTACAAATTACCTTGTTGCCACAAAACACTTGGATCTAGGGGCTCCTGACAAAAATTCCATTTAGCTGATTGAATCAGTTGCCTAACAGAACTCATCAGACCTTCAAAAGCAGAATGCTGGAAATGTAGCCCTTGTAAGTAAAATTCCCTGTGGAATAATTTCCCTTGGTTAGATCAGCAGCTATGCTCTTGATAACCAGCAGTTGGAATATACTGAAATTTAAACCTACTGACATCAATAGCTAAGTTTTTGCAGCTTTGTACAGCGAGACTAGATTTCACAGCAGCCTCGGTAATCCTTTTTCCAAAGGAAAATGCCAATTCATGACAAATGCTCTCTAACTTCAAAACATTGATGAAGGACTTTTCTGGGAGATGGGGAAAGAGATTAGTTGCAGAGGCCAGTGTGGGCATAAAGCTTCCTAACAGTTGAGCTTAAATGTCAGAATAAAGTATTGCGGATCCAGAAGGTATCTAGAAAGCAGATACTGAAAGTATCATAGAAGCTTGGCATCTGCCAACTGTTGTTCTGGCCATAAGTGTACAGAATATCAAGAGTACACTTACCCATTTGCAGCCAGTGTAGCGTAACACTTCTTAGGCATTCTCTTGCTTAAATAGCCTTGATTTTTGAACAGTAACAAGTTTCTTCAGAACAGCAGCAGTCTAAGATGAAGAAAACTTAGGTTGTTTAGTACTGTGACAGCTAATAAAACTAATGTTGCCCTCTTATGCCAAATCTTGACAGGCAGAATTTAAAGTTAAAGCCCAGTAACTGACCTCTTGAAGACGCTTTTTTTTCTTGCGGCTACTGCAAATATTTGGCCTTGTTTCACACACATGTGGGTCTTCATTCTGCAATAAGATCAGTTGTGTTCAAAACATTGAACATGAATACTGAAATATAGTCAAGGATCTTACAATAGTGGGGAACCTCCCTCCTACCCCAATGCATACCGCCTTGGTTTCAATATTCTACAGCTTTTGAAACACACCTGTATTGTTTCCATATGTAACACTGCTTAAACACCTGAGTCCTGGTCAAGCTGACCGGCACGTGCTTAACAAAATGTTAGACAAACTGCTTCGGCATTATTATCCGTTTCAGTCATATTATGCTGAGAAGAAATCGTAAAGTGATACAAATTGAACTAGGCAAGACAGTCACTGTTACTCAAGAGACTGGTACTACTTGTTCACAAAACTTACTCAAGCTGAAATCCAGTTCTGGAACTGTAGAAGAGAGAAATGAGTGTTGTTTCTGCTACTGTTAAGTTCTTTACTTGAGAAGAGGCACATCTCATCTGCCCTTTTCATGCAGAAGAACATACTGATAACAAAACTAGAAGTCCATATTGAAAACTAAGTTAAAATGGTTTTTAAAAGAAACAAAAACCCACCACCAACCCCTGCCCTGTGCCTAAACTAAGGTTATTTAGGAAATAATGGTTGTCTAGCAGGACCCTGCTGCACCAGAATCAGGAGTCCTTTGAAATTACTAGGTTATACAAAGCTATTATTTTGCAGGAAAATGGTCTTCCTGCAGCAGGGCCTTCCAATGATCCATTTCACGGTGCTGTAAACTGAAAGGGTAACTCAACACTGACCCTTCTCTACTTAATGCATGTAATGCCTAACTCTCTGGCTTGCTGACTTTGGAGTAGAATCTTTTTCACTTTTAAAACCAGTTTCGATTGCAACGGCTGCTTGAGACTGCTCTCTCCTGAGCTATGGACACCACTCTAAAGACTTGAGTTGGCTGTAAGTATTTAAATAGTCCAGATCATTAAGTTTTGGCTGTATTCTGACTAGTGTAATGTAGAATTCAGTTTGCATTTTTTCTGTTTTATAGCAATGCTTTCAGTCCCAGTAGGCATTGGCAGTTTGATGATTTAGCATTTAGCCTCTTAAGTATATTCATATTTCTGTTTTCTGGACAAATAGAGAAACTGCAGGTTAAAAAAAAACCTGTCTGCCAGTCAAAACTCATTTTCTAGACACATATATAAAATGGCTTCCAAAATGTTTCTGTCCAACAGGTTTGGTGCAAATACTAAAGTGGTGCATTTCCTGGGAAGCACAAAGCCATGGAACTACACATATGACTCCAGAACAAAAAGCATAAAAGGCAACATGGACGACCCTAAAATAGTTCACCCAGAATTCCTCAACATGTGGTGGGATACCTACATAGCTGATGTTTTACCATTATTAGAACAGCATGGAATTGTTAAAGAAATTACTACAGGTGTAAACATGGTAGGTGCTTTAATAATCTTGTATGTCCATACCCAAGTATGGATGATGGGTTATTTACCATTGCAGTGATTTCGCTTCCCTCTGTCCAATTCATAGCATGGGTGTGTTTTAGTTTGGGGGTTGCAGGGTATTTTGGTTTTGCTCTTTTAAGCTTGGAATAAAAAATACCACAGAAAAGAAGCATGCTATAGTGGTCTTGAACATAGCTGTATGCTTGCCTAAAACAAACTTAGTAAGAAGCTAACCTTGCACCAGATATTGTACTGTAGTAACTTCTTTAACATATACAGAGAAGGGCCCTAACTCTTAATGTGTTGCAGCTAATAAGGTTCTCAAGCAGAACTCCAGTTCAGCATGCAAATAAGTACATACAGATCTTTCATGGTGAAACAAATTTAGGCAAACCTAGGATAACTAGAGAATCAATACTTACATAAAATGGCAATGATGAATCCCAATAATTATTAAAGCCAAAGTAATGATTCTAACTCATTAGAGTTTAGTAGCTTGCATCTGACTGCAGACTTCTTAAGTCTTAGCTTAGTACACGGGCCAATTTAAGTTCTCAACCTCCCCAATACCAAAGTTAATGGTCTCTTAAGATGTGCTTTCTCTTGGTAATCTTGCATCTTTCTAACAAACTATTTGCAGCTATCGGGCTTGGTCTATACTCTGGCTTTCTCTTGTGGCTTCTGTAGAGAGGTATGAAGAACTTTAATTTTTTTTTCCCCTTGCTAACTTCTGTAACTCTGCTTTGTTATTTTGTTAGGAAAGCTGCACAATCCCTGCCCATTGGCAATGCTTGCTACTGCGCATGAGAACATCTACTTTGTTGTCCCATTCTTCTATGGCCTGTTGCTCACTTTAGCTATGCAAAGTATTTCTGTATTTTTACTCTGCCTTTCCTTTTAGGCAGAAGTTACAGAGGCAGTGTCCCACTTATCAGTATCACCAGTATTACCAACTGAATCTTCAGAAGAACGCAAGGAACGGTGGGAACAGGGCCAAGCTGACTATATGGGAGTGGATTCCTTTGACAACATCAAGAAGAAACTTGATACCTACCTTCAGTAGAAATGCCTGTCTCAAACAGTGGTCATGCAAGGACTTGTTCCAGAACTAACAGCTAGAAAGGTATAGATGGTGGTCAGTTACACTTGCTAGTAGCTTGATGAAAAACTCCTTGGCTGAAGGCCTCTGCAGTGCTACAGATGAAGACTGAGCAAAAGCTAGGAAGCAGAATTCCTTGGGCCACCTATTACTGCCCAATTTCCAATTCTCCCTACTAGATAAAACCAGGTATTTTCAGCTTAAATTTTTTTCTGTTGTGATCAATTGGCTCAAGATATTCCTGAAACTGGGTTTGTTGCCTCACCTCATTAAGGTGATTAGCATTGATTCCTTTGCTTGCTGTTTTAGATGTAAAATCTAATTCATGAGATTGCTCATACACTGGAGTGGTAGCCATTCTGCTTTACCATAAATGTATAAATGACACTGGGATACATACAGCTGTAACAGTAATAGCACTGCTTTGCTCTTCCAGTCACAATTGCACTGAAATTTTGACCAGGTTCTTACGCACAGTGCCTACAGCATGGCAGAATGCGTTTTTCAGTTCTGTATACTATGGGACTAGTAAACTGAGTTTTATCTGTTCCTTGCAATGTTGCACTTGATACAAAAATAAAAAGTTGTCATGCATTTCTGTCTTCCCTAAACTCTTGAGCAATTAAGAAAAAGGGAGATCCAAAGTCCTCCAACTAAAATATTCAAGAGTATAACCCTTAAGCTTTGCTAATGCTACTCAGGTTCTCATTAGCAAATGTCCAGCTTTTAGTTGTGTAATTATTTACAGAGTAGACAGTAATTTGCTAGGAAGCTGTTTAGGGCCAATCCCCTTATTAGCTTGCCCTAAGTATAGGATAGAGCAGTGGAGGAAGTACCTGCTGAAGCTACTCACATTAGTAACATGGAGTTTGGGAAGAGGGCCTCTTTCTTTCAAGTGACTAAAGAAACATCACCTCTAACTTAAGCCCTGTACACTGAACTTAGTCTTACATACAGTGGAAATGCTGCTTTGGCAAAGAAAGATTACACAGCTGCTTAAGTAACTGTACTTTCTTGATTAGGAAAACTAGTCTTTCCATGTGTGCAGAGAGTAAAAGGAAGGGCTTTTTTTGCCACACTCGGGCTACACATACTGCAAGATACATGGGAAAGCAGTAAAAATAAAGTATGCTGATGACAGAGATTGGCTGATATCTATACTAAGGTTCAGATTTATGCTTTAGCGAAAAGTCTAACCAGAACAAAATTAGTGTTCTTAGACAGCTATACCCTGTACTAGTCCAGAAACATTAAGAAAATATTTCACTATTTTCTAATAGAGGAGGATTTTGGCTGGAACCTAGTGAGAGTGCTAAACTTTTTAACCTAGAGATAAAATAAATAATCAACAAGCTCTCACAATTTGGTGGTAAAGCAGAAGACATAATATGGGTATGAGAGTTAGTCTGTTTTAACTTGTTTTCACTACTTAATTGCCCTAAGATCAGTTGGTAACCATTTAGGAAAAATCCTAAAAGATGAGGTCCAAAACAAAGTAGCTTGTAGCTATTTAAAAGTACATAGTATCTGAACTCCCAGTTGAAACTAGCCCTTTCCTGTATGTTTTTTTTTTTTTTTTTTTTTTTTGCTGTGGGTTTTTTGTTTGTTCGTTTTGTTTAAAACGTATACATTTGAAGTTGTGTGAAAGTAGGAGGGATTACTAGTTACAGTCTGTAATGACAAAAGTATATCAAACAAGTACTGGAGTTCTGCATGCTCACAGAATACTCTATGGAAAATAGTAAAATACTCTTTTCAAGACAGCTAAACAGTTTTAATTTTCCTCCCCTTGTCTGTATTCATACTAGAGAATAGGCACACTGCATCTTTTTAAACCTAGTTGGAGAGAACCAAGAACATGTAAAGGTATGAGACTTACTACCTGCCTGAAAATTTGGGTTAGCATGTAAATTTTGTTATGTTAATACAACAAGGAGAGATGCTGAATCAGATGAAAACCTGCATGTTTTGGGTTAACAAATATAGCTAGTAAAGAAAGAAAACCTGTAAAAATCATTCTGTCCTAGCCTCTGTAACTCATACTATGGTCAAGTGTTTACCCACAGCCTCAGGAAAGCGAAAGGTATGACATCTATACCAAATTCTATGTAGCTTATTCTCAATAAAATGACCTTTATGTCATTATCTGCCACTATTTTCTCCACAATTGCTGCAGGCAGCTTTTGCAGAAAAGCAGAGATCCCTTTTCTTCTCTTGCAATAGTATCACTTGATTCATCAAGCAGTTTTCTGCTCTGAATGGAAGGTACTCAAAGCAGTAACTGATACCAAGCATTATATTCAAACATCACTATTCAGAAAAATCATAGGGTGGCTTAGACTGCAACTCAAGTATTGAAACTTCATTGCCTTTATACAGCATATAATCTAAGGTGTTCCTTAGATTGTGACAACTCAGAGCAACTCTTGGGAGTTTAGAAGCAATTTTTACATTTACATCTTTATTTTACGCACAAGGTAAAAAACCCCAAAAAATCATAATGATAGACTACTAACTCAGTCTTTGGAATTAAAAATACTTCCAAAAGCTCATTTCTAGAACATACACAAACTCCACAAAAGAGAATGTCAATAGCCAAAGACTACTCAGAGGTCATGAAAAGCAGAAATAAACTCCAAACAACCAGAACACCGGGGGTTTTAACCACCCGAGTAACTGAAGGGCTCCATCAAATCAGACAGGACTTTTCTGTTCTCAGCTTTGACCTTTATCTGTTCTCTCAGATACATTAATGACTTTGTTGGCAGATATCATATAGCTTAGTACCACCTTCAGTAAGTTTTTATTTGGCTTTGGAACATGGAAACAATCGTCTAATAGAAGAAAAAGATACTAGTAATTGTTTTCATAATGATAACTAAGACATTCTGCAAAATGTCAGCACATTTTCACACAAGCAATGATGTAGCTTGACTAGCCAAAGAAATGTGTCTCTTTCCTGTGGAATTTTAACTTGGTGAGTGGAAATAATGAAACAAAGAGAAATCTTTCCTTCATAATCACAAATTATTTCTCCAGCTTATCTCTAAATATCAGAATCTGAACTAGAAAACCTTTATGCAAAAAACTCCCCCCAAAACAACTTCAGTCAGGTTTAGCTCTGTTTTCTTGATCTTTTGTCAACTCTCCAGGGATAATCAGTCAGTGGAGTTCATGCTGTCTTCCATCATTCATGCCCTTTTGATTCTTTCTCTAACAGAGCACGCTTTTCTCCATAGCTAAGATGCTGGCTCCCCAAAAACTGCATCAGCTTGTTAAGTTACATATTTTTAATTTCTTTCTCACTTCTTCCATTAGCTCACTGTTTCTCCAAATAGTAGACATCTTCCCTTTATTTTCTCAGTTCTTTTCCCTTTCCTATGCTTGCAAATCATCATATAATCAGCTGGCTGGTATTCTTAGGACATAAGAAGACATGAAAGGCATTACAAGCAAAGTTAGATTCCATTTCTCTTCTGCCAAGAGCACTTCCCAAATCTAAACAGGACCCAGATATAGCAACCTCTGCCTCCAATTCAAAGTCGGAGCATTACGGTGAAGGCAGCAAAATGTTAGGTAAATGGATATCAGAAGACCAGAATCAAATGGAAAGAAAGGAATAGACAAGAATATTCAACTAATACTCAACAGAGACTCTTCAGTGCTATTTATTAGTTTGTGGTACATGAACATGAGCAGCTTACCAAATTCTTCCTCCAGAAATCATGCAGCATGTAGATCAGCATTCCATAAAGACATATGTATGGAAGTGAAAAACACGTAGTTTTTCCACTACAAGTGGAAAAGCAGTACAAGAAAACTGTTAGAAAGCTGGCAGCTATTAAAATAATTTGTTTAATTTATTGTACAAGGACTAACTGATTCACTGGCATGTGAGTGGGTTATAATCTACTTTGAATATAGAACAGTCTTACTGTTCAAAGCGTCTACCAAAATTACCAGTGTATTATCAATACATGCCTGTGATTCTAGCATTTTATCCAAATAAAAAACTCTTCACTTTTATAAAAATCATTGGAATTCTTCTAAGAGAAGTAAAATATTAAAAGAAAGTGTTTTACAAACTGAAGTACTTCCTTTTTATTAACTCCTGTAAAGTAATCAACAGAGGAACTCCCTGCTGCACCTGTGTATTATTCAGAAATAGTACAAAATATTTTAAAATTTTTAACTAAATACCATCTTTGGAAATAGCCTGAAAAAGTAAGAATTCCTTACAAAGTGTCACTGGCCACCTATTCTGAAACAAACAATCCACATCATCTGTTTATCAGGCACCATTGAGACAGAAACATGAAGCTAATTCATTTCTAAAGGGTTTTGTCTGAAGGAGAAAACACACACACTATGTACCTTTTATTACCTTTTGACCTCTAGAAAGAGATGAAACGCTTGCAAGTTAGAACGTATGGATACGCATTTCTGTTTTGAGGGACTTTTATGTATTCTTTAGCATTGTTCGTAACAGGTAACCTGCTGAAGAAATGAACACCGGAAAAATTTCAGGAGTTTGTGCACTTCTAAATTAACATTTAGGAGCAAATTAGTTTTTGTAATTTATTTGAAGCGTTTATATTTTGAGCACAAAGACAGCAAAACTGAAAGTTAGCATGGGACATGTAACTTGAAGAGTAGTATTATCTACAATATTAAATATATTATTTACTGAAAATACAACAGGATGAAGCTATATATCAATCAGAGCCTTAATTTCATTAATTTTGTTTTGTTTCACTTCGCTTGCTGAAGGCTGTTTGGTAGCAAAGGCTCCTGCTGCAAGTTCCCTCTTCTTGTTCTGAATTTTCAGAATATTTTCCTCCACTGAATCCTTCACAATGAACTGAAATAAAACCAAACAAACAAGCAAACAAAAACACACTGAAATGAATATGTTAAATGTTTTTTTAAATAAAAGTTTAGGATGAAAAATTAAGGTATTTTGGAAAAAAATGCTAAGCAGCCTTAAGTACAGTTATATTATTTAGTAAGAAAAGGGTTGGAAAGCAGTTGAAGGGAAAAGTTTGGCGTTTTTTAACCTTTTTTTTTTTTTTAAATTAATTGGAAGGATATCTATTTCTTCTTTGCTACTTATACTAGAAGAGAACTTGGCTTCAATTTCCAAATAATACTTCTGTGATTGGATATTAACGAGACAGACCAGCTGCTCTTCCATAGCTAATCAAGCTGCTATGACAATGGCAGAAGTGTTCTATATACTTTTAAGATAATGAACTGTTAATAGCCAGGCTAAGCAACAGCAAACTAACCCATCTCAGTCACTCCAAATAGCTCAACAGGGACATCCGATTTCTAATATTAAAATCTTACAATCCAAAGCCCACACTTCAACAGTCACACCACAGTTTATGTTTACTGGTGAGACTATGATGTCACAATTATTTTTATAACATAGGAAAGTTTTGAAAATATTTATTCATAACCAGAAAACTGTTGGGATCATCTCTCAACTCACCTTAGTAATAATAACATTATGCTTCTGACCCAGCCTGTGATACCTGTCAAAACACTGGTCTTCTGCAGCAGGATTCCAAGCCTAGCAGTTGCAGCAATGAACAAGTTAAATAACCTCACTTCAAAGTACCTAATAATATGCACATGGAATCACAAAGCAGATATTGTACTATCACCTATTGAATAAATATTGCTTGCAGATTAATTACTCCCAACCTAATGTCTCACTCCTTAAGAATCCCACTGTAAAAGAAAGCTTTGAGAACTTCCAGTTATATATTCATAACAAGCAAGAACTTCAGGTAAATGCTTTAAAAACAAAGTCTGTCAGGAGTCTAAAAGACATCAAAACAATCCTGTTATTTTAATTCTGAAATAAACAGTGCATATATTAACTGCCTCAGTACCCTTTTCCTGATAGCAAAATCTAAACCAGCTGAACTCAGGCAGTTACTTAGAAGTAAACTAAGGCCCTGGACTGTTAAGTAAACCCACTTACTCTTTCACTAGTATATACAATAATCACCATGTTACGTAAACAAAAAACTTTCCTGAACACAAAATGAGAGTGTATCTGTTCCTACTTATGCTTAGGATTTAACACTAAATATAAGGATTTGTGAAATGCCACGTCTGTGCATTTTTCGAGCATGTTTTTTCTACCTAAAGGTACAGTACAACTAGTTCTCACCGAGTAGATAATTAGATCTACCTAAACTGTAATAATATTCTGTCTCTGATAAGCAAGTCTCATTGAACAGACTCACCTTACCACGTCATCCACATACTGCAAGTTACCTAAGAACTCTGAATGACTCATTTTAGATTCTAAGAAACTCTGATGCCTACACACGCAGAGACATCAAGTTGCAAGATAAAAGCCAGACAAGTCTTGTTTCTCCAATCTATGGTAGTGATCAAAAGTATAACAAATTATATGTCTGTCAATGCAAGACAAACATTCCTGGCAAGCTATGTATGGCAAGCCATTCTAATATTAATCTAACTGTATGAACAAGATGATGTCTGGAGGAAACACCTGGCCTAAACATGCAGAAGCATGTTCCGTTCTATCTTTGCTGTAGTTGAGGAAGACCAAAATGTACTACTTTCACTCTTCTCTCATCAATTCTGCAAAGGAAAAATGAATTGCAATACCTCTATCCCTTTCTGCAATCTCATAAAAAGGATACTGTATTTTACGTGGGAAAATATGAAGAAGCTTGAGCCTTAGAGAAACATCTGCATACTTGTGATACTTTTACATTAAAGGTTTGTATTTCTTCCTAAAGGTGAGAATTCAGCAGCTATGATTGTATTTAAAGCAGCAAACAAATAATTCAAAAAAAGTGGGGGGAGGGAGAAAGTAATCTATGGCTGGATAAATATTCCTCCCTTGCACTCATATTACACCTCTCAGAGAAGGAACGCAGACCTCTAAGCTACAGTGCTACAACAAATTCACAGAATTTGAAAAACTGGTTACTTCACTGGCTCAAGGTATTTCTGCTTCTTAATTCCTACTATTGCTACTAATGCACTTCAAGGAATGCTAATGTGTGACTGGATCTCATTTGGCATTGACTATTCAAAAGGGAGATCATAAAGAATCATGTGGTCCCACTACACCTCCATCAAATACAAGTAGTCAGCCACTGCCACTTGGGATGGTTACCATCACAGGATGGTTACCAGCAGGATGAGAAGATGCTGTTCAATGGTCTATAAAGGCTGCAATTTTATTTGGCTCTGGTTTGTGAGGTATAACTACATACTGTAGATGACTCAGTGTTAACAAGGCTCAGCCTACTTTCTTACAACCGCTTGCTGCAATACTCAATGCATTATACCTCATTTATTATCTTCACAGAAAATTAAAATTCTCTTGCAGTTTCCACAAATACTCAGAGTTGTTAAAGAAGTGCAGTGGTTGTACTAGATGGTGTTGTGGTCATGTAGGTCCCTTGCAGCTGAACACATCAATGCAACATACGGAGAAACAACGTTGGTTTTGTTTTTTAAGTGCAGAATTTGTCTCAGTTTCCAAATGCCAAAAAACTAGGACGTCAGAGGAGTAAACAGTGGTGGAGGAAGTGAACAGAAAAACTTTGATTTTGTACAACGACACAACACATGAACCAATTTTGTTAAGAATACCATTTTGCTGTCAATAAATGTAATTTACATTTCTATTCCTTACAAGTAGTTTTGTGTTCCTGAGTGCTTTAATGAAAGGAAAAAAACTTCCAAAGTTTAAATATTACTAGTCTCCTAAGACTACGAAAAGTAACCTCAGAGTAATGTCTTTATTTATAAATAAATTCACAATAACATCAGAGGAGACTAGAGTAGACAAACACTGCATTAAGTATATACTTACATATTTCTGAAATTCCACTTCACGGCTTTTGAAGTTAACAGAAAACCACAGTCAAAAATATTGAATAATATTGAAAAATATTGAACCACATTCAAAACCACTGAAGTACAGAAAACCACACTCAAAAATATCAGAAAGAAATAAAGACGGAACAGATAGCATATGCTACACTGTAAGGTGTCACACCACTCTTTTGGTAGTCCTACTAGCCTTCTTTCCATTCACAGTAAATAAATGGACAGCACAAAAATATAGTGTTAAAACAAAAAATCCCAGGGAAACAAATGAAGAAAAGTCCTACTTGCCCTTTAACAAATACTCATCAGTGTAATTCATTCTCGAGGGGCTTTCCTTCTACCTCTTAGGAAAACACCAAAGGAGCTTCACCTAGATTAAGCCAGATCATTATGAACAACCCATTACTCACAGGATCCATTAAAAACACTCGGGAAGCTGCTGTCAGATTTAATCCAACTCCACCCGCTTTCAGAGACAAAAGCATTATAGTTGCAGACCCTGCTTGGTTGCTTTGGAAACACCGAATTGCTTCCACTCTTTTCTTCTGTGCCATTGACCCATCCAAACGAGTAAAGGCAAACCCTGATTCTCTAAAGAGAAAGTAAAAATGTTCAACTTAACAAGCCGTTTTCTGTGACAACAGGAAATAAGTACATTAAAATCCTGACCTCTACTTTGAAATGTGTATTTAAAATTCTATTTTCTTTGACAGATCTAAGACACTGTAAAAATACGTTTATTAAAAATAATAGTAGTTCTACTTACTTCAAGGGATTTTCTATCAGGGCCAGGAAAGTTGTGAACTGAGAAACAACCAGACATTTAGCAGCTGGATTATCCCTCCGCAGTCCTATCAAAGCATGCATAAGAGCATTTATCTGAAATCAAATTAAGCATTTATCTGAAATTAAATGAACTTAGATTCTATTCCTACAGGTGGCTTTAATAAAGTTCGTATCAACTGAGAGAAATCCCTGTTCAGTTAATATCTTTTAAATGAACTAATCTTGAATTCTGTGGGTAGGGTTTCTTTTAATTTCCACAGGAAACCAAGGGTTGAGCATTTTTAATGGACGCAAACCACAGGGTGATATTGAGGATGTTTTGGTCACAAGCTGTTTTCCAATGACATACTTCCCACGGGAATCAGCAAGTCCCCTATCTCCAGGGTATATGGAAAATAGGAACAAAGTACTGGAACGCCAAAAAATAAGGCTTAAGCTAAGGACAGCCACAAGGCAAGTGCTTTACTATAGCAAGAGTCGGGAAGTGAGAAAGGCTTTCCCTAGAAATACTCAGGCAAATAAGCTAGGCAAGACCCTTGGCTGGGGATGACGGAAAAAGGACACACCAGAAGCACTCTTAAACCAGCATGAGAATAAAAGGAACAAGGAATTGGATTTGAGGCAGAAGAACACTGCCAGTTTTCTCATGTAAGGTTTAGTTGTGATGAGACAAAGAACCACTAACTAGAGAATGCAAGTAACAGCACCAGGTAACAAACAAACAAAAAAATCTGAATTTATTCTAGAGCATAATGTCCTAAATTAGTTCTTAGGTCTACACAGAAAGATTTTTAGGGAATAGATTTGTAACCAGCATTTGAAAGAACAATTTCTTCATTTAAAGTAACGTGCAGAAAAGCAATCTCAAAACAAAAAGGTCAAAATCTAAGCAGGAAGATTTAATTTCTGGCAGCAAACGCACAATGAGAGTTAGGCAAAAAAAAAAGATGCGGCAGACCTTGACAAACAGGTCTGCAAAGTAAAACAACAGTATCTCACTAGTTTATCTGACAAGATAATTATATGATGCCCATTTAGTTTTCCCTTCTAGAGGAAAATATTTATTCTTTATACAAGATTTAAGAAGGAAGGATTTATTTAGATTTTGTTTCCAAAAGTAAATTAAGAGTTGGATAAGTTTCAGTGGTTATAAAACTGCTCTATCTTCAGAAACTGAAAAAAAAGCAAAGCCCTTTACTGAAGTTTTATTTAATTAATACACATCTATGTACTGAACAATGAACAGCATCAAACTGCAACTCATCTTCCTTCCGTCTTGTTTCTCTGCTGCAAAATCTGGCTGTGGTGGGATTTTATTACATGCTTTCTTCTGTGCTGCCTATAGACGTGCTGGGCAGACTTTTAAATAATAATTTAAAGTATGTTTTCCACGTTTATAATATATTTAGCATATTTACATAACAAGGATAGAGTATGCCCTACAAAATCATAATGAAAGCCCAATAAAACATAATGGAATGTACCTTTGAACTGGGTATCTACTCCTGATCAGGCTTCTTTCCACTATTGGAGTCCATTTCTTCTTCTAGGGGACATTCCACCAAGTGCTCTACTTGAAGTTCATTCCTACAGAGAGGGCACTTGGCATTTGGCTAAAAACAAAGCCCAAAAGCATTACAAGAAACATATTAAATCAAATTATTTATAGTGAATACTAAAGAACACCTTTATAATTATTATACTGATGTTTATGTAAAACACAATTCATTCTTGTAACACACTATCATTTCTGACATGACAGTCGCAATATTTTATATTTGACAACATTAACATGACATAAACACTACATGTTTTAAAAACAGCCTTCATTAAAAGTGGTCTTCTTTTGGAGCACATTTATACTTGAAATAAGTAGCTCAATATTTTAAGGCAAGCAAATACTTGGGCTATGGGGGGATAGACTATTTAAAATATCAGAAAAATAATCCATCTTTCAAATACTATCTTTTTTAGTTACAAACAAAGAATGACCTTTTACCCTTTTTCTTCAAAGCCTGCATAGAAATAACAGCAGTCTGATGAAATATGCTTTGTCAGGACAAAAACACGGTATCTTCTCTTTTTCCCCAGCAGACATGAGAAACGAGACATAATTTAACACCAAAAGCTTTTTTCTCTGAAGTATATATACTCTGGATAAAGCAAAATTTATACTATAGCACTTTCATAGGACTAACTCACAAAATTTAACAAAAGACTGTGAGCACTGTACAAATACAGAACTTTGTGAAGCAAAAATGACAGACACGAAAAACCTTTGCCGACAGAGCAACCCTTTAAAAGTAGCTAGTTCTGTTTATATAGCAATCAGGCCACAGACCCAAGGCATCTTTAGACAGGCTACAAAGCAGACCTACAAAGCATGGGAATACTGGGGGCTGCTAATCTGGACTGAACTGCCAGCCAACTAAAGAGGCCGGCAGTCTGAATACATTAATTTATTGCAACAATAAAGCTATCCTTTCAGGAGAGAGAATCTTAACACAAACATATCTGAAATAACAGTCTCCCAAATGTAGTGAACCAATGAACCATTCCTGATTTGGCACCAATCCAAAAATCCTCTAGTGACAAGACAAAATAAATGAATTCCATTAAATCTGGAAAAAAAAATCCTAACAGTGCTGATAAAGACTTTTTTTTTCTTTTTAAATACAAGGCTCACATCTTTCTGCATCCCTTCTCCACTTTAGTACTGCAATTATAAACAAAACACAAAACGCAGCTGAACAATGCCAACAGAGACACCAAACACTTTCAGTAAAAGCATATGAAAATGGCCAAAAATGTCTCAGAATCAACAGCTAAAAGAAGAAAAAACGTTTTAATTCGTATCTGGCAAGCTTTTACAAGAATGCAATTAATACACAAAGACATTAGATTACTGTAGAGGTTTTATAGCTTTATTGGGACTTTTGCATAGGATCTTCACTTATTTGCACAACTCTGAATTTAACCTTAGCAGAAGATGGAAATGAAGGTGGTGTTAACTACTAAAAAGTTTTTCCAATTTCGGTAAATACTTTTAGGTTAACAATAGAAAGATAAAATGATCTTCAAGTTCATAGTACAACAAAAGGCCAAACTTTTCACTCAGCAGTTTTGTGTTTGCAGCTTTACTTCTCACTGAATTCCCCAACTCTGGAATTTAGATGTGTGCCAGTGTGGAAACTGACAGATGCAGATTAACAAAGATGGTCACCGCTCACAGCTGAAGTGTGAAGACAGATTTATTCCGTCATTTGCAGGAACACATACACAGTACTGAGTCCAAACTTAGCAGGGGCAAAAAGGACCAGGAAGGCCCCAGCCTTGCCTTACTTACATATCAAAGCCTAACACCTGTGAAAAGGGTCATCAGCCTGTGTTTTCACAATTCTGAACTCTCTATTCCCATTCCCCCCAAGTCTGTGGGAAAGAATGCTTTTAAGTCTTTAACAACATTCTGTTATCTTCCTTGAGAGAAGTTCTGTTCTTTCAACAGACAGAAAACAACCCAAAGGAAACACAGGGCATGAAAATTCCCACACTGAAACACTACTCATAGCACTCTCAGCTGCATAGGTATCTTGAGTGAAAACAGCTAAAGAAAAACAGCTCCTCATCAAATCTTGTGCTTGCAACCCCTTTTCAGTCAGTGTTCAACACAGTCAGTGTTTCGGTTGGAAGCTGCAAAAACTTCCTTGGGAATTGGTTTAAATCAGGAATCATTTTGAGAGTAAGAAAGGCTTCTCCATTCACTGTTTTAGAAACTCATCATAGTTCAAAAGAGCAGAAGTTACACCCATCTCTGTTTAGACTTCACTACTACGAAGATAGGAACACCCTGGGTTTGGACAAAGACACTAGTTCTGGAGATTCCACAGTCCTTTCCAGGCGAAACATAGTAAGTAACTTGACTGTAAAGTCAAGTAATGCACTATAATAATTTCATCACATCATATCCCAATTTATTTCTCTGCATGTTAAAAACACCTGAAGGTTCAGCAGGGGCGCCAGCTCTGACACAGACACATCAAGAATCTCTGCACTGGAAAAAGCACTCTGCAAGTGCTCTTCCCTTAAAGAATAATTTCACAACACTAGTTTCCCTCAAATTTTTCAGAAACCCTGGAGTGGGATATCTGCATTAGAACCTTGCGTATCTGGCAACGGAACAAAGTCAATCTACAAGCCAGACAGACAACACTTCCCACCTCTGTCTTGTTCACTGCTTATGCACAAGCAGGAACTAATCTGTTCCCTGCTGTCTCCTAATAAAGAACACCTAGGTTTAGGCTGGCAGTTGCAGCTCTACTCTAGCTAGGAGGAGGCAGAATGATTCCATAGAGTAAGTGCAGTAGCACTCAATACATATGGTAAGACTTCCATAGAAATGAAAGGGCAAACAAGAAAGAAAAACATAGCTTAGAAGCACAGAAGAAAAATAAATACTACGGTTTTCAAAAAAGCAATCAAAAGATGCTCATCCACAAGCTTATTCTAGATAGACTGTCCAGAGAGGGTCATAAAGATGACCCTCTAACAAGGCAGCTATTTCACTGTAGAAGTTCATCAGCTTTTAAGCACAGTATACACATATATCATACCACACACAAGCAGTGAAGAAGCATCCAGCCATATGGAGGCATACAACGCTGCACACTTTGACCCTAGGGACAAAGCAAGGTGACAACTATGGAATAGGTCTTCAAAAATACTGATGGACCTTACCTTACCACTGAGCAGTTTGACAGCTACTCTCTCCACAGTTTGACTTCAGGCCAATAGTTTTTATAAGCCAGCTGATAACTAGGTTTACACTGTTCACCATGATTTAAAAGAACAGTAGCTAGATGGCCTCCTGGTGATACTAGTTCATTGCTTTCGAATAGCTATTACAATGAATTGTCATCATAGAACAACCAACCTGTTCATTTCTGAGGACTTCAAAAATGCATGGTTTACAAAACACACGTGCACAGTGTGTTATCACAGGAAGAGTCAATGATTCCAAGCAAGCTGTGCATTCTTCATCTGAACCAGAGCTCAGAACCAACTTCATTTTACTCACTAATCTCACATGCAGTTCTTCAGGAGTTCTACTATCTGGAAATACAGAAACACACTTAAACCCAGAGACTTCCATGCAGAAACACTATGAGCTCTCGTGCATCAAAAACGTTCCATTGATCAAAATGCAATTAGAACAGTTTATACACAATGAGGATATAGCTTACAATGTATAAAAACACAAGATGCCCCACACTACAGAAAATTTTGACCTACTAATTCAAAACACATTATGAGTAATCTTACTTGAAAAAATAGTAATTTGAATTCAAAGAACCTCAGCTGTATGCAATGGTAAGTATAAGTGCAACACAATACCTAATGAGAACAAGCAGTTTTCATGTGGCAGCTGTTCAAGTAGCAAAAATCTTATGAACATGACACTACTTACAATCAAGATTGCTTCTTTTAAAGTAAAAAAATTAAATTCCTACTTACTAGCCATTAATTAATTTCTAAATAATTATGGAACAATTATCAAATAATTTCTCCATCCTGTAATTTTAAGGAAGATAAACAGCAACCTTCTGAAAAAGGTTCTGACCATATCACACCTATGCCAATGGCATCTCAAAACAGGTTTTTCCTAAATATTACATTTGCAAATTCTCAGTTTTAGAGTATTTCCGACTATTCTTTCTTCTGAAAGAAACACATGTAAAATTTTAACACTGTGCAGCTGTACTGTTCTGGCTTGTCAAAAATAAAACTTCACTCTCCTTTCAGTCCTCTGTGTTCACCTTTCCTTACAGCTGTGACAAAGTCAACAGTGTCCTATTCTGCTGAAGAGACAATGGTTCTGCTGACACAGCTACCACTTTACAAGCCATTCCCCAAATCTCCTCTACATCTTCTCTCCTGAGGCAAAGAAAAAAATCTGCTGTAAAAGCACTTCTGTAAATTATTACAACAACAGACATGCTGCTTTTTAACAAGCCTTCTGCATTTGGTTCTGCAGAGGTCCTCTCTGGTCATTTCTGTATGGGCTGTCAAAGCTTATTAACTCCTGCTTCTGGCCTTCATAACTACTCATACTTCATTATTTCATTCATATGTGAGAATGTGCTCGATATCACCTTCTCAAACATATTCAAATCTATTATGCTACCAAAAAAAAAAAAAAAAAAGTAACTAAAGGAAGCTGAAAGTTCAATAATCCATGCTGAAGAGAGGATGGCTAAAGCTACAAAGCTTGGAAAACACAAATATGTTTCTGTTCTTGAATACAAAGTGCCAGTTCTTGTTCTTAAAAAAACACAGGAGCCAAAAGTATTCACTCACCATTTGAAAAACTAGAAGAGGTATTTATACAAAGATGAGGATGACAACAAATCTGTCTTAATCTCAGCAGAACTCCAAGGATGTCAGCATAATGAGCTAGTACATTCCCTTCATTGAAAAATCTGAGTAAGAGTTTTCTGGTTAGTGTGAAATACTACAGCCTGAAATAACAGATGACATTACATGATAAGAGTTTAGCTGTTACAATGATGTTCTGATTCTTCACCTTTCTGTTTGACTACCTTTTCTCAAATCCTCTTCTTAAACAAGGCACAAAATGCTACCAGTAGCACATTCTACTAGAAGAAATGTTAATAAACGGTGACAAAAGTTTTAAGGCCATTCTTTACATATCTGGTATCTCTTTCCAGTTCTCACAAGACAGAACTTCTAATATATAGTTCTGTAACACTCTCTGCTTCACTCTTCAGAATTGAACAGATGCTAAAATAATTTGCAGTTATTAGCCTACATTATACAAACTGACGCACTTGGCTACTACAGCTAACATAATCAAAACTTCTGAAATATAACTTTGTGGTATCAAATTTCAACCTTCAGGATAAAGAAAACCTCTGACTTACCTGCTAATAGTAGCTTTGCCCTCATTCTTCACAGACTGGTAGATTTGTCTCTCCTTCTCTGTAAGTGTAACATACTGAACTTTACGTTCTGGTAAATCCAAAATCGGTGCTCCTTTAACTTGACTTGTTTTAGATCTTCTAAGGGTAATACTCCTAATCAGAGACTGTAAACGCCTAAAAATATATATAGACAATATATTACTCAATATATTGGGTGTGGGGTTTTTTTGGTTTTTTTCTTTTCTTTCTTCAGTTTACTGCATAAATTCATTTTTTGTACAGATTTCAAGCCCAGTAGTACAATATAACTCATTAATCTGAAATATAAACATTTTTAATTATTTGATAATTACTAATTTGAACTAAAAAAACTGAAATAAGAACTGATGATATATAGGCATTTCAAGTTTAAATGTGAAACACTAATATGTCACACTGCCCAAGCGCTGCTAGTTACACTCATTCACAAACCCTTTGGGAACATTTCATACCAAAGTCCTCCTGGAGCTCCCATTGTGACTGGACGTTGAATTGTTCTGTGCCACCACTCTCGATCAGCAAAAGGTTTCAGTTTTAAGAAGGAAATAAGAGACCACAAATCTTTTACATAATTCTGAATAGGAGTGCCTAAACAAAAAATGAAGACAATAAAACCTCAAAGAAACTAAAACTCACAAATTTTTACCAAAGAGCAAATTGTGTGCTTTCTCCTAATCTCAAAACTAGGTTGACATGTCATTAAGTATAATATTATTTTTTTAAGTTAAATATTACAAAACACTTAAATACGTAAGAGCGAGAAAACCACAGGTCTCAGTGTCAGGAATACTTGGTTGTTATCTTTCTGTTTCAGCTTCACCAGCAGTGGTCATGATCTTTAAATTACATTTTTAGGATCATATGCTTGCATGGTCTGTGGCAATTTTTATGATACCTAATACATTTTATAAAGCTACTGAGGTTGGGATAAGTATGCATCAGTGTGAGCTTCTAACCAAACACAACTTGCTAACTTCATAAATAGGTCTGTTTTTACTTGTACTTCCACCAAACTTGTGCATCAAAAGTTATTTTGAATTTTCTCTGCAATCACTGAATGGGTCAGGCTAGAAGGAACCACAGCAGGTCATCTGGTCCCACCTCCCTGCTCAGGCAGAGTCAATCCAGAGCACAGAGCACAGGATTGTGTCCAGACAGTTCTGGCATATCTCCATGAGGGAGACTCCACACCCTTTGTGATCTCTTCTCCAATGCTCAGTCACTACACAGGAAAGAAGTTCTTCCTTATGTTCAGGTGGAACTTCCTGGGCATCAGTTTCTGACCTTCCATCATGTTCTACTGCTGGGCACCCCTGAGCAGAGCCTGGTCCATCCTCTGACCCCTCCCTATGGACACTGACCGACATGGATGAGGTCCCCTCTCAGTGTCTCTTTTTGAAGCTGAACAGCCTCAGCTCTCTCCCCAGCCTTTCCAATCCCTTCACCATTTCCACAGCCTCCACTGGAGTCACTCAGGGAGCTCCATGTCCCTCCTGTCCTGAAGAGCCCAGACCTGAACAAAGCACTCTAGCTGTGCCTCACCAGGGTTGAGTAGAGGGGCAGGATCCCTTCCCTGACCCGCTGGCAATGCTCTTCCCAATGCAACCCAGGATCCCATTGGCCCTCTTGGACCCCAGGATACACTGCTGGCTCACGGACAGCTGCTGGCTGTCATGGTCGAGGCGGGATGCGACATGGGTTTCAGGATACCAGCTTTTTTATTGCAACAGTACAGCTACCTTTATACAGTCCTGGGTGACACATGTACACACAGCATTGGTTTACTACTTCATAACAACTCACGATTGGACATAGTTACACATGTCCTAACACAATAGGTTGACACTCTAGGAGGAAACCCACTCTGTGTTACAGTCCCCATTGTCCGTGGTTAACCCTCTGCCAGGTGTAAGAAGTTCCATCTTCGGTATCTCAGTTTACAGAGAGCCCAGAACCAGCTGAGCTCCCCCACAGCTGGCTGTCCACCAGCACTCCCAAGTCCTTCTCCACAGAGCAGCTCTCCAGCAGGTCACCCCCAGCTTGTGCCAGTTATGGCATGGGATTATTCTTCCCCGAGTGCAGGACCATGCACTTGCCCTTGAACTTGTAGCGTTCTTCCCTGCCCATCTCTCCAACATGTCGAGGTCCCTCTGAAGGGCTGCACAGCCCTGGGGAGTCAGCCACTCCTCCAGCTTTGTGTCATTAGCAAACTTGTTGAGGAGGAATCTGCCCCTTTATCCAAGTCACTGATGAACAAGTTAAATGACACTGGGCCCAACACTGACCCCTGGGGGACAACACTAATGACAGGCCTCCAACTAGACCCTGTGCCACTGGTTATGACTCCCTGGGATCTCCCATTCAGACAGCTCTCAATCCACCTTCATAACTGAATAAAACAAAAAAATAAACACAAACACCACCCCACAAAACCTCCAAACAAATAAGCAAAACCAAGCAAAAAACCCACAACAAAACAAAAAAACCAACCAAGCAAACAAAATCAAAAACCACTAAATGAAGACACAATCACTGCTCAAAGATAACATTCCAAATGAATCTGAGACAGGCAGACATGAACTATTTCCAAAAAAAAAAAGCCAAAATGGAAACACCATGTGGGAAACACAAGATGGTGCTGTACTAAGGTAATCTGCACTGCATTTCCACTGGCGGCAAATCGTTTACCTGTAAGAACCCATCTTCTGTGTCCCTCCAGATTTAAGGCAGCTTTTGGTTGAGCATTTGGGTTTTGTATAGTGTGCCCCTCATCCAACACAATTCTCAGCCACGTGACTTTGTGCAAAGGGCTATTACCTCTGATCTGAAAAAGAGCATTTTTTTTTTAATCTTTGACTCAAATTAAAACACCTTTTTCAATTTGGATAAAGCAAGATATTAATACAACAACCCCACATTTAAAAATGGATAGTATTTATCTGCATCTTATTTATTTATCTGCACAGAAAGGCAAAACTAAGAGTAAGGTCTTCCTGCTTTTAGACATATTGATTCCTGGAAAATGCTACTGATCTCCTCATACCTGAGCTAAAGTAAAAACAAGTTAAGGCTGAAAAGAAGCGTTTCAGTATGGAAAATGGATCAGAGAGCAAATCAGAAGTTTATATCATATTTAAAGATGCAATCTTCAGGCTTTTAAAAATGGTTGTCATTCCTATACAGATAACTTTACAAATACATCTCATGCAATGAGCTACTTGGTTGAAGCCCATGTGCAAGAAGAACTACGAAATTAAACTGTTATATGCTCCATACTCTTCAAATTTGATAGGGCAACACAGAAATGGGAACTTCATGCCACCAAGATCTGGGGAGATTTGCATACTTGACACCCTTTTCTGTCCTTAAAAAGTCCTTTCCTTAAGCTGTCATAATTGCAATCAAATAATTTTCTGTAGAGGAGCAGTTAATAAAAAACTCTCTCTGTTACCACAGCGAATACATAAGAAAGTATGTAAAAGCAAAACCACAGCTATACTTTTTTGACTGTCTACCAGAATAGCACTTGAATATGCTGCCATCATTAGCCCAAGCACTGCGAGTCTTAAACAGTACGGAACCTTCAAACACCTTCTCATTTACTTACCCCATAGTCAGTAGCTAAAATGTTGTATGTTGTCAATACAACGTCTTGTTCTGAAAGAACTGATGGGTCTTTGCTATGCTCAGAACCGTAATAAACATAAGTCTTTACATTAAAATCTTGATGGATACGTTGTTCAAACTGATCCTGAAAGAAAAGTTGTCAAAAGTAATCAAAAACATATTGTGTTACTAAATGATTGCTAGAATTATTCTTCTTGTAAATTGTTATTATTAGTAGTATTCTTCTTGTAAGTCGCCTTATCTAAAACCCACTTTCTCTAGCTCTGTGACATTCTACATCCACTTACATAACAAAAGCAATTTGAATTTGGGTTGCTTTTTACATCTCTACCCAGGTGTGAAGAGGGACCAGAAGTAGTCACCTCAGTCATTAGTAACAGACACTGTATCACATTGTGGTACCTGTAGCTTTACTTCTTACAGTGTATTGGTTTACATCCTGATGGAATATGTACTTCAAAATGCACTGTTCCTTACAAACTGTAATGGAAGAGCTTTTATGTTCTTTTTCACTTTCTACCTTAAACATCTCTTTGTTTATTCTTTCACTGGTTTTTTTTCTACTTCTTCTTAATACTGGGTTAACTACCCAAGGTGTTTCTTTTAGCATAAAAAAATTACATTTGAAAAAAAATAAAATATTAATTGTAAAACCAGTGTTTATATTTCCTATATTTGTTCTGTGACAGACTCAGTATACAGTAACCTTGACAGACAATAAAAATCAACAATTTTATTTCTGAAGCACCAGGCTCAAGTTTTCTTTTAAAATACTTAATTTGCCTTGAATTGACAAAAAGTACTTTGTTTACACTATCTGATGTTTCTCAGTTACATGACTTTCATGTTTCACCTATGAAGATTAAACTAACGTTCTAACCACAGACAGTAAAATCTTCCAAATGAAATATAAGTTTGCAAGTTAAAGATATCTCCTTAATATTTGTATTCAAAATGTCATGAAAACAAAAAAATTAACTAATGCAGAGACAGAGCTAGAAGGGTCCTTCAGCCTTTTCACTACAGCAGACTTAATCCCACAAATCACCAGCAGTATCACCAAATTACTGAACTCCTCTAGTAAATCAACTGTCACATGCATTATCCATGAAATACAGTAATACTTTATTCTGAGCATGTAACAAAAAGGACCGGTCTCCTCCCCCTTCCTCAGCTTGTTTAAAGAGGTAAATTGCACAAGTTCCAGAAGTGATGTATCAGCCTAGTCAAAAGCAGAAAATGGAAAGAGAGCTCGCTACTGATGGAACTGCACTCTCGTTGCAATACTAGTCCAGTTTTGTATTTCTATCAAATCAATCTCCCTTGTGAAAGCAGCTCTCTTTCATAAAAAGGATAACCACGACCTTTTACTATAATTAAGGGCTACAGGGAGTACTATTTCTACAGCATCATAATCAATACAGATTACATTTACATATTAAAAAGGCTTAGCACTTACAATCCAGTTGCTTAGGACAGACAGTGGGCACACAATCAGTGTTGCTCTGGGGCCATCATCAGAATATTTCTTCTCAACTGACTGAACACTAGCAGTACCTGAGAAAACAGAAGCCAGATTTGAAAGCTTGCTATCTTAATTCAATTTTGAATTAAAGTTTTAGACTAAGAACTTCCCATTTAGAATGCTGAACACTGCAAGTAAGGAAAAAAACACAAAAAAGCACCAACTATTAAAATTATACCTGGTCAGCAGTTCTATGAATTTTTGAAATTTATTTAAATCTTATATTCTGAAACTAACAACTTTATCTTCTGCTTTGTAATTTTTCAGGCACTTACAATCCCTGTATAGTATCGCAATCCAACAATGCTTCCTCGCAAAGTTCCATATAAGACAGTTGAGTCTGTATCCTCCTCTGTTCCAGAAGTGTCACCTAGAAAGTCAAAGCCTTTCAATCCAAGACTGGAGTAAAAGTCAGAAGACGAAAAGCAGGAATAGTTTCTCTCTCTTCTGCAGGTGTTATCTTGAGAGCATGCTCTTGCAGAGTCTCTGCAAAGACAAATGTGACATACTGGACAATAATTATTATTATTATTATTATTTCCTTGTAATCTTTCATCTCTTTATGTAAGGTTACCTATAAGTAAGGCTATCTATAAACTCATTTTATGACTGTACTCAGTCAACATGTACCTGGAAACATTCAAAAAAGCTTTTTACTTGGAGAAAACTTTGTCTGTCACTTTTAACCTCAAATACATTAAGCCAATTCCAATGAAGAGCTGACAAGGGACCAAACTGCAGTATCTGTGTATTCCTATTTTTCCTCACAGGATTATCTTTGTTAACATTAAGATTTTTCCGCATTTAGTTATATCCCTAATGATATCTGGCACAGCAAAATTCTCTTGTATTTTCTTAACCTGACTTTTTCTCATCTAAAAAAAAAGGTTAAAATTACCTGTTTGTAACTGATTACTCTGTGTAACTTTACATCTGTATCCACAAATGCTGAAATGCTAAAACAACTGTTCCCTAAGTACTTAATTTACCTGCATACATTGACATCTCTTGTCACTTTATTATAAACTTCAGAGATAATCACTCCAACCTAACCCAGATAATTACACTACGTATCTCTAATACAAACTTCTGTCAGTGCGGGTCCCCTCTAGGTGATGGGATACATCTAGACACTCACATTACTGGGTGCCAAGAGATGGACACATTCCTGCTCATGCATTTAACCCATGTTTGAGCGAAGATCGACACTAACAATTGCTTCAACCAAGTAATACATAACAGTAAAATCTCGGTATGCAATAATAATGCCTTTTGGTAGATTCCAAAACTATCCTACTGTGCTGCTGGATTAATTTAAGAGTAAAATCAATTAAAATGCTTCTATATACTATTCAGAGCCCTGTCTAGCAAACTTTGGGATTTTTCTACTAATTATATATAAAGTCACTGTATTATCGGCATTCCATTTTCTCTGGCAGAAAAGAAGCAACAGGCTTTGCTCTCAGCTCATTGCAGCTGAGCCTGCGAGGCTTTAACCGGGAGCCATTTATGCCAGTGCCCTGCGGAAACCCCCTCCGGGAGCGCGGCCTCGAAGGCTCCGCGCTCCCGCGCCCGCCTGCACCGTCCCCCGCCCCGGCCGGGCCCCGCCGCAGCTCACCCGGGCCCCCTGCCCACCACGGCGGCCCCGGCTCTCCCGGAGCGAGCCCCACACCCTGCCCGGCGGCCTCCAAAGGCCGCAGCGAGGCCTCCGCTCCTGCCCGATGGAGACACCGCGCCCGCCGGCTGGGGCTGTGCCCGGTACTGCCAGCGCGCCCTCGCCGGGACAGCCGGGCTCTGCCCCGGCCCCTTCTGCGGGTTATTCGGCCGTGCCACGGGCCACGTACTCTTAACCCGACAAGTGCTAATGGTAAAAGAACCTGGCCGCAGTGGCAAGAGCACGTGCAGTTAGCCGTCAGTTACAGACAGAATATTTACAAGTTTGCAAAGGTGCCAAGAAAAACGAGGATGCAAAGGGCAAAGCACGATGTTGTCAGAATGTGATTTTCTGAAGCTTTATGTTGTAATAAGAATCTGACTGAGAAAGTAGCAACTCTACTACACTAAAGATAAAAAGCATACGGTACACTAACTTAGGCACAAATGGTCATGGTCAGCGATAATTAAAAACATTTATAACCCTGTAGAATAGAGCCTTTTGAAACAATATTTTCATGTCACTTAAGTGAAACCACTCTGAAGTCTCCTATAGCTTCTCCCAAAAATTGTAATAGAATGAGCTCCAATTTAAGTCAAATAGATACATGCTGTAGCCAACAACAGATGAGGGAAACTGAATTTTTCTTCATCACTGGGCTACTGTTTAAAAAAAAAAAATTAAAAAAAAAAAAGACAAAAAAAGAGAGTGAGTTTTAAAAGCTTCATTTTCTAAAATCTGCATACTGTCACACAGCATTCCAGGATGCCATTCCATTCCATTAAATAACTGAAATACTTTCACAAACTCACTGAGGCAGCCACTGCTATTCACTGAAATATGTTTTGCCAAACAGGGATTTCTGTAACAGTCTTCTTGGACAAGCCTGGATGCTATATGAAAGCAAATGATGTAGTTTTATCTAAAGATGCAGGTGGATGTTAAAAAAAAAAAAAAACAACCCAGAAAAACAACCAACCAAACTCACCACCACCAATAAAAAGGAACAAAATCCTAGCTTTTCACTAACTTATCCTTAAAATGTTGTCAATAAATTTTGTATAAAGATTATCATCAGGGCAAACTGTCCCAGCATTAAAATCTAATGTATCCGATACGTAAATTTTGACACAGTCTGGCTTAATAGTAGATTTGCCAGACCAACCTTGTCAGAGGCAGAAACAGCAAAAGAAACCCCAGACTGTTACGTTGATTTTTGACCGAATTTTCTTCTACGTGAATACATAATTATTCTCTTTAGATTTATATAGATATTGCCATGGCCCTAGATAGTTCTAAGATGGCTTATTCCAGCTTTCAGAAGCCAATTTTAATTTCAGTCTACTAAGATCTTTCAAACAGAATTGTAGTTTTCTATGCAAGACTTTTTTATTAAATTACTGACACTTTCTTACAGATTCAGCTGTTCAAGATGGAGTTTAAAATCTGTCCAGGTTCCTCTTTTAGTCAGTGCAAATTCACAGGTCACAAATACTGAAATAAAACTTCTACTATAGCTTTTACAATCAAAGCTATATACTTAGAAGGAAATAAAAAAGGATTCTAGAAAACTATTGGACATTTTTTGGAGGATAAGAAAAGATCATTCTCCCATAAAGACTTGCACATTCACCAAAACCAAGAGTGACAGAGAGCTCAGTTACAGTAATTTTCTAACAGAAGCTCTTCTGCAAACTGGACTGCTTCCTAACTATTAAGCAAGGCACATTGCAGACTGAATCCTACTCTTGGGCAAGCCAGGAGAGCTGGGAATTGGAGTCTTACACTGAGCTTCCTATATCCACAGTTTCATGAAAACTTAAAACAGATAATGTCTGACAGTCACAAATGCTAAGACTTACACAGTTCAGTGCTGTTCCTTTTATGTATCACTTCAAGACTGCTGCACATTTAACAGGAACAATTTTAAATATCAAAATCCTTTCAGAACAAATACTTTTTTTCATTCATTTATACTGTTTATCATCCCCATACTGTTTCCTTAACACACCACCCCAACCCTGTAATTTTTCCTCTTTCATACAAAGCTTGCAAGATTTTTGTCACTTTCTCTGGAATATACCAGAAACATAGACTAAGTCATCTATAAAACAACAGCATATCACAGTCTGGTTATTTGCCAATCTGCCATGATGAATATGGCTGAGATCACAAATATCACCACACACCATATCCTATGAAAGGTCAGGTATAGCACCTTAAGTCCTGGCTGTGTTCCTAAAAGGGCTGTATTTTCAGCATAAGGAACTCAGTATCTACAGATGTATCGGGTTTGTGTGACAAGGTTTTGGGGGGGATATACAGGGGTGATTTACATGAGAAGCTGCCGGAAGCTTTCCCCATTCCCGACAGAGCCAATGCCAGCTGGGTCCAAGAGAGACTTTCCTCTGGCCAGTGAAGAAGCAGGGAGAGAAGGTGCTCCAGGCACCAGAGCAGAGATTATTACCCTGCAGCCCAGGGTGCAGCCCGTGGTGAGGCAGCTGTGCCCCTGGAGCCAATGGAGGGCCACAGGGGAGCAGAGACCCACCTGCAGCCCGGGCAGGAGTCCACTGCCAGAGCAGGTGGGTGCCCAAAGGAGGCCACTTCCCTGACTTCTCCACTGAGCCAGTGGAGAAGTTTGTGAAGAACGGCAGCCTGTGGGAGGAACCTCATGCTGAAGCAGGGCAAGAGCATGAGGAGTCCTCTCCCTGAGGAGGGAATGGCAGAAACAAGATAACTTCTGATGAACTGTGCCACTGGGGCAGGGACAGGTAGAGAACTCAGGCATAAAGCAAGGCCCAGGAAAAAGGGAAGGAGGAGTGAGAGGAAGGTATTTCAAGATTTTGGTTTTATTTCTACTTAACTTATCTGATATGCTGAGTAATAAATTAAGCTAATTTCCCAACTCAAGTCTGGTTTGCCTGTGATGATAATTGCTGAATGATCTCTTCCTGTCCTTATCTCAACCTGCAAGCCTTTTATTATATTTTCTCTTCCCTATCCAGTTGAGGAGTGATGGAGCAGCTTTTGTGGGCACCTGGCATCCAGCCAGAGTCAGCCCACCACAACAAACAAAATATCTGGCAGTGATGGAATACTGAGTCCTTTTAGATTTTTTTTAAGGGACTTTTTTTTTTTATGGTAATTTCTTTTTGAAGAATATATGAGAAAGGCTGAATAAACAGTCTCTCTTAGAGGGCCTGCACTTACAAATGATATTTTTGAGAACTTACTTTCTCAGACTCATTTCCCAAAGCGAAAGAAGAGGTCTACAACGATGCCTCCTCTCCCTTCTCCCTTTGTTGATGCTAAACATTTTTTCCATCATTACCATAAGCTGCCAATGATGCATAGACCTCTTTTTTTTTTTTTTCTCTTCTGTGGCATAGTCATTGCCATAGGTTTAGGTTAACTGCCTTTTAAAAAAGATTTGTGTTCATGAAGAGTCAAGGTGAAAAATCTTCCTGAGTTTGTATGACCTATCAGGCTAGAATGCTTAAGGTGTACAAGGAAGTCTGTAACTAAGAGCATAAGAGTTTAACAAATAGTAAAGGTTAATACTTGAATACAGTCAAGTCATTCAGTGGTAAAGGGATAATATCATTCTAAAGCTATCTTGGTATATATACGTATAACTCTTTTCAGCAGACAGTAGAATTAATGGCCCCACAAAAGTTTTGGCTGTAAAACACAGAATACAGTTTTGTGCAGAATTCTAAACACTCAAGTACATGAGAAATAAATTTGATAAGCTTCAGTTAGGCAGCGTTAAGGAATAAAAAAAAATGTGCATCCTGAGAGGCCTAAAAGAGCTTGTCTCTTTTAATTAATAGCAATTTCTTAATTTTAATTTTTACCAGTTCTCAATTATTAACAGCAAATCTGCCTTTTGCTTTTCTTTGGGGAGACAGGAAGAAGGAGGAAAGAAGGGGGGAAAAAAGGAAAGAAAGAGAGGGAAGAAACCCTCTAAGTGGCACGGCTGCTACTCGAGAAAACAACAAGAGTTTGCTCACTTCGACTCCGTCCATCCAGCGGCACCTGCCGAACCGCCGGCCCCACTCTGCCTCACGGGACCTCCCGGCCGCCACGGCGACCCTGCCCTCCTTGCCGCCGCCGCCACGGCGCCCCTGCCCCTCCTTCCCGCCGCCACGGCGACCCTTCCTTCCCGCCGCCGCCACGGCGACCCTGCCCTCCTTCCCGCCGCCGCCACGGCGACCCTGCCCCTCCTTCCCGCCTCGAGATCCCGCCCCGCCCGGCACCTCTCCAGCCCCGCCCCCGGACACGCCCCTGCACGTGCGACAGCCATTCCCGCCTCGCCGGGAGAAGAACGGCTCCGCCAATCAGCGGTGCTCGCTCGCGCGTAGCGCGCGCGGGTAAGGGCCAATGGGGAGCCAGCGCCTGAGGCGAGGGGTTGGGGCCGTTAACGGTCGGCAGTTGGTACCGGTCGGTGGGCACCGGCGGACGGGCTGTGGCACAGCTGGAGTTCGTCAGCTTAGCAAGGCATCATGGTGGGAAACGCGATCCTCGCGGCTGGGGTGGAGGAAGGACGTTTGGGAGGGCTTCTGCCGTGGCAGTCGGACGAGTTTGTGACTGCAAGTACTGCGGCAGGACTTGCAGGCAGTCTCTGCTTGAAGTCTCCGCGGTAGCACTAAGGCCGAAGGACTGGGGAGAAGGAGGGAAATCAGTGCAAAGGTTAATAGTGCAAGGAAGGCGAGGCACAGAAAGTGATCCGTGGCTAGCCAGGGATATGTGGAAGTGCAATGGAAGGATGTCCGTAGCGGGCATCTCCCGTGCGGAGGGGCGAGAGGCAGACTGAAACCTGACCCAGGCGACAGAGGGACAGCGGGACAGAGCACGGCGGCCACCGGTCTCGTTTTTCCGCCATTTCTCGGCTGCCTTGACGCGCAAAGCCCGCAGAGGCCACAGCGCGCGCTCCTGAGGGGGCGGCGGTGAGGGACGGGCGGGCGGCGCGTCCTGGCAGGAGCTGTTTGCTTGGCGCAGCCAATCAGAGGAAGGGGTTGGGAAGGGCCAAGCGGAGGGCGGACCTGCGGGAGTGAGAATGGAAACAGTTGAGAGTTCAGGGCTGGATGCAGCTGTCAAAAAAATGGGAAAGAGCAGCCTAGACACTTTGCTTTTTCTTTTCCAGCTGTGCTTTTTCCTAGATACACTGTAACAGTAACCTAGAAATGCATCTTATTTCCATCTCGGGTGTAAGATAAATTGAGGTATTGGGAGATTAAACATACATGGCAGTTGCTTAGAATCATAGGAGCTGACTTAAAATGGGCAGATGATATTTGATTGGACTCTTGGAGGATGTCACGTAAGAATATATATGAAAAAAAAATTCGAATTGTCAGGGGCTAGATACCACTATGCTTATTATAAAGAAAAATGTACTGAGTGGTCTTGTGCAGAAAAAGAGTTATCTGGTACATGGTTTGGGAACAAGTCAGGGAAATTTGGGGATATTATATAAAGAAGTCTTCCAAAAGCTAAAAGAAGGTGGAAAAGAGACTAGGTTGAATATTAAAGATATATATGCAGCATCGTGAGGGATGATGAATTTTTATTCACCCTATGTGAGAGGGTGAATTACCCTATTCATAGAGACTAGGTTGCCTTTGGGGTCTTCCAATATTCTCAAAATCAGTGCAGGTTAATTCAGGTGAGTAGTGTCTTGCTAGCAACAGACAACATTTGTTCTCTCAAATTGTCACTTCAGAGAAACCAGGGAATATTGCAGCAGAGACAGATAATGGAAAAATACAACCCATAGATAGCTAGTTATAATGAGAATAAAATCTAGAAGCAGGTAGCTCCACGTCTTATTATTGTTGTGTTTTAACTTCACAGCGTGAATGCATATCCATCCATGTTGGTCAGGCTGGTGTTCAGATTGGCAATGCATGTTGGGAATTGTATTGTCTTGAACATGGGATCCAGCCTGATGGTCAAGTGCCTAGTGATAATACTATGGGACGTGGAGATGATTCATTTAACACTTTCTTCAGTGAAACAGGAGCTGGTAAACATGTTCCGCGAGCAGTGTTTGTGGACCTAGAGCCAACCGTAGTTGGTATGTACACAGCATTAAAGATCTTCAGTGAAAAAGTGAGGATCCTTTAAGGATTCCTTACTGTCTTTTTTTGTCTGTTAAGAACACTATAGATTTTAAAAGATGTGTGTCTGGATGCTGTTTTGACATTTGAGGTTATTGTTATTTGAAAGAAATTAAATAATGGCCTACAGGTAAGTATTTAGAAAACGACAGAACTTTTCTGTGATCTGGATAATCTTTGCTGCACTGCATTCAGAGTTGTGTTTGATTGTTGTCCAGTATCTTGTCTGTACCTGTAATGTAGTTTTCTGAGTGACCTCCGTGTTCCTTGAGTACACATACTGCTTTGTGTGTGCCTGATGTTTACCCCTAAACAAAGTGGCTGAAGTTGAGCCAACTTCTTAGACTAGTCAGACAAGCTGTGTACAGTCAGAGATGCTGTCTGCACTCTTTTGACACACGTACTTAGTGTGTAGTCACTAGGCAGCACACACAGAACTGATCAAATTTATGATGTGGTGTTTTGGGCTTCTTTTGTAGATGAAGTACGTACAGGCACATACAGACAGTTATTCCATCCGGAGCAGCTCATTACTGGGAAAGAAGATGCAGCCAATAATTATGCCAGAGGCCATTATACCATTGGAAAAGAGATTGTTGATCTAGTGCTAGACCGCATTCGCAAACTGGTAGGAATTCTTACTGCAAGTTAGTCTTTAAAATAATCGATACAGCTCTATAGCTATATTGGTGGTTTTCTGGTTTTTTTTTCCATATGAATTTTGTGCATACTTAATTGTTTAAACAAAATGCAATAAACCTTTTATTTCCTTGCCTGCACCACCCCCTCCTTTAAATAAAAATTCAGCCAGTTAAACCAGGACCTTTCAAGAAAGCTGGGTTATTTTACTATAACAATGCCAAACTAACAAACTTATGACAAATGCTTTTGAATTACTGATTTCTCCAAAACCATCACTAACTTTTTTTCTCCTGTTTTTTTTCCCACTCCATTATAGGCTGATCTATGCACAGGGCTGCAAGGTTTCCTTATCTTTCATAGTTTTGGAGGAGGCACTGGTTCAGGGTTTGCTTCACTGCTTATGGAAAGGCTCTCTGTTGACTATGGCAAGAAATCTAAACTGGAGTTTGCAATTTATCCAGCACCACAAGTTTCCACTGCTGTAGTGGAACCCTACAACTCAATTCTAACTACGCACACAACATTAGAGCATTCAGACTGCGCCTTCATGGTAGATAATGAAGCCATTTATGATATATGTCGTCGTAACCTGGACATTGGCCGTCCTACTTACACAAATTTAAACCGATTAATTGGGCAAATCGTATCATCCATCACAGCCTCACTGCGTTTTGATGGAGCCCTTAATGTAGATCTGACAGAATTTCAAACTAACCTGGTTCCATACCCACGAATCCATTTCCCCTTGGTAACATATGCCCCCATCATCTCTGCTGAAAAAGCGTATCATGAGCAGTTATCTGTAGCTGAAATTACCCACTCTTGCTTTGAACCAGCCAACCAGATGGTCAAATGCGACCCTCGCCATGGCAAGTACATGGCCTGCTGCATGTTGTACAGAGGTGATGTTGTGCCCAAGGATGTCAATGCAGCCATTGCCACTATCAAGACTAAACGTACCATTCAGTTTGTGGATTGGTGCCCAACTGGATTCAAGGTACGTAGCTTTTTAAGTGCTCAATATCTGAATGATTAGGAATTGTGTAGTTTTCAGAGGTAACAGTCACGCTAAAATATTGTGATGTCCCTGTTAAATATTTTGATAAGGTCTAGAATAACTCTAATCTATTTTATTTAATTGTAACTACAGTGATTTTTGATTGTTAATGGAAATGAGCATTTAAACCTTAGCGCTCCTAAGGAAAGTTTTCATTTGTTGTCTTAAAGGTGGGCATTAACTATCAGCCTCCAACTGTGGTGCCAGGTGCTGACCTTGCCAAGGTGCAGCGGGCTGTGTGTATGCTGAGTAACACAACTGCTATTGCTGAAGCGTGGGCACGGCTTGACCACAAATTTGATCTCATGTATACTAAGCGTGCCTTTGTGCATTGGTATGTTGGGGAAGGGATGGAGGAAGGAGAATTTTCTGAAGCCCGTGAAGATCTGGCTGCCCTTGAGAAAGATTATGAAGAAGTTGGCCTAGACTCAGTAGAAGCAGAGGCTGAAGAAGGAGATGAATATTGAGAAAACTAAAGCCTGGAAAAATTTCTTTACCAAAAAAAAAAAAAAAAAAAAGAATTGCAGAACCCTGTTCACTTGTTTTTGAATAAAGTTTTCAAATGTGTTTTCAAATAAAGTTTTAAAGATTCTATCATCTCTGTTTTTTCTTCTTCACTTAATAATGCATGTATTCACTAAGGAAGGACCATTTGAGATTACAGGTTTTGGTAGCAGATCTGTTATCTGCTTTAAAAGTGTGTTGTGATTTTTACATTCCTACATTCACCTAATAATGAAAAAAATCTAATGTCCTTTACAAATGAATAGAGCTTTAGAGACACGTGGAAG